AACTTGATATGACCACAGAAATACTTCTGCTGAACAGAACAGAAAGGTGAAGGCGGTTTGATTTGTTACAAAGGAAGGTGGAGGAAGCTGTGTGTTCTTCACCTGCTGACCTCTAAACATTTCTTTTAAACTGAGAGCTTCCTCTGCAAATAGTTTGCATGCTGAAATTAAGAAAAAAACAAACCAAAGCAACAGCCAAATACCTGCTTCCATTTTTTCTTGCTGTTGTGGCACAAGCAGGCTGCAGGCTGAGGGCTGTGACTCCGTAGGTAAGGTGATCTCAGCTGCTCTCCCAGGACCACTGTCTCTCATGGAGGAGGACCACATGCTCTCTGCCACCTCCCTGTGCTCCTGGGACAAAGACTCACCTGCTGGGACTCCTGTGAGTTGCCATATAAGCAGGTCAGGGCAGAATTAAGATTTCTCTCCTCCAGCCAGGCCCCAGATTGGGAGCCAGAGCCAAACCCATCGTGGATGCTCCAGCTAAGTGCCCAGAACACCAACGGCAGAGGATAGTCTGAAATCTCGGACGGAGACTGGTTAAACCACCTGGGCACCTGTGATTTGGGCCATGTTGAACAGTCTATGGGGTTGGGTAATGAGGGCTCCCATTATTTTGTGCAGCACAGCTGGCTCTTGCTGTCCACAGGCTCCCTCCTGCTCTGTGCTGGTGCTGGCTATGCAGGATGACATACTTTCAAAAATAAAGATACTCTACTCTTGACATATAATTGTAAAGAACACGTTTTACATTCACCCTAGCCATAGTCGAGACTCTTATCCCCTTCAATGCCATCTTTACTTAGTTCTGCAGATACAGTTTGCATGGTGAATCTGGTTAGTTTAAGGGCTTTTTTAAGTCATAAACTGAAGCAGAAAATTTCAGCTCTGTGATTATCACAGCACTCAAATCCTTTGGGAAATGTTGCCATATTCTGTGCTGAACTTTTTAATTATTTAATTTCTTTTAAGTGGAAATCACATTGCCTGCTCAATTCTGCAGTATTGATCTGGATGGACCAGGATGTCCATAGGTGAAAGGAGCCATATGCAGTGATGGGTTTGCATAGAGAGCAGCCCTAGCAAAAATGGGCAGAGTTCTGCTGACTGTGAGGAGGAGCTGAGCCTGCTACAATGGCAACTAGGGTTGAACTACCTAGTCTTGAGCTACCAGCTGCCCTCTCAGGCTTTTGAGAATCAAGTACTTCATTTCTTCCTAGTAAGAAGAATGAGGGAACAGAAAGCAGGGATAGGCTTCAGCCACTAAGCAGTCTTTGTCTCCCCATCAGCTGGCTACCGACCCCTCAGTTTTCCATCTTCTTAATGCTGTGCCTAACCCATGCATGGGATATGTTTTGAGGCCCTTGTTTGAAAAAAAATTTGGGAGGGAAAAGTTTTAATTTACTCATAGATAAGTTTTTATCATATTATGGACAATGAAATATCAATTGGGTATTTGTTAATCTACAAGAGAAGTCACTGCCTGAAGGAGGAGAATGTAGGACATTTTGATTCTGAATAGATGGGAAAGCTTCATTAGCCTGTGCAGTGGGTTTCTGATCAGTCTCTCTAGTTGCAAAAGGCTGTAATTGTACAGTAATTCACTGCTACCTTATTTCTAAAATCCCTGCAGATGATTCCCACCAGACAGACTGCTTTGGTAAGCAGTTCATTTCAATACCTCACAAAAGCTACAGCAGAGAGCAGGGCAAGGACAAAATGAAGCAGAAGTGATTTACTGAGCAAGCAGTGTCATCACTCTGCTGCACATCATGTCTTTGCAAGACAGAAATTTGTTGGCTGATCATACCTTACAGAGCAAACAAGATTGAATGGCAGAGGCACAAAAAGCAGTTCTGGCTCTCTGGGTCCAAGGCACATTTACAGGCATGCATTAAATCTTTGTCTGTCTCCAGGGGCGTGTGCTTGTTGGCAAAGCAGTGTTTTGGCACGCAGCACATCTCATAAACAACTACCTGCTCATGGCATCTATTTAGGTAATTGAATCAGTTACTTCCGGTTTGCCATCCTCCATATTTATAGAGTCTTCCCTTGTGAATTATGCAAAAACGTCACTTGGTTTTTACTGATAAAAAAAATCAGATTAGTCTGACTCACCGTGTAGAGCAGTAGCTGGAGGAAGTTCTAGAATCGTGGAACTAGAGGATGCCACTGTGCTGTGAAGTTGTGGAGAAGAGAGTGGTGCGTGTGCGCGCGCGCACGCTTGCACTCCAAGGAGAGCTCTTCATTAGCTGCTAAAGAAGAAAGACAGGAAGAATTACATCATTATAACCTCAAGGACAGCAGAGTGAAACTGTGTAATCCCCACTCTTTAGCTCTGTTATCAGTCCAGATTAAATCCCTTGGTGTCCACGCTCAATCACTTACAGTTAAATCAACATTTGCCTGAGCTCTTCTCATCTGAGTTTGTGTTGGTGGCATGGAATTCTCTTTGGTTTTAAAATTTGAATAATAAATGATCTTTTACTAAAGCAATATAGCTTCTGTACAAGGGAAGGCATATTGCTTGCAGCTATTTGACTTTATAATTTTAAATTTCCTTTTTTTCCCGCCATTTTAATGTCAGCACTGAGATACCTGCTAATGGGAGAACCCGTGTATCATTAGATATTCTTCCTGATCTTCCTCCACCCACTGTTGCCACCACCCAAAACGTAGGAACAAGCAGCAGCCTGCCCTGGGTAGCTTGAGGAGTTCACTGCCTGAGGAAGGGATCAGATCACATCTCTCTCCGGATTTCGTATCTCCTTGGGAATGAGAATTGCAACTCCTGAGGAAAAAAAAAAAAAAAAAAAAAAAGTTAATAAAAGGTTTAACTCTTTTCATTCATTCATGTTTCCTCTGTTTAGTTAAGCCAGTGATACTGTTGAAGGAATAAAACAAAGCAAAACAAAACAAATTACACACAGACACACACACACCAAAAAAAAAAAAAAGCATGTGTAAAACACCAGAGAGAAGACACAGAACAAGTTGTGCCTGGTTTCCAAACTCCTCCTGCAGGTTTTGGCACTCTCTGCCGAGTTAAAAGGACTGATCCCTGAAAGATGTGAGGAAGGCATGCAGAGAGCACATTTCAGGGAACAACCCTCCACAGAGAGGGTGGACTTTGGGCTGCAGGGATGCTCAGAAGACTATACCACCTCTTCTGCATGCAGGGTTGGATGAACATGAGAGACTGCAATGGCTGTTTTCCCTAAGCCTGGGAATATGTGCATTGTTCGGGCAGTGCTAATGGGAAATTTGTACCACAGTGGGAGGGGGTTTTATTTGCACGTAGCACAAGAGGGCTCATCTGACAGTAGAGCCCATGAGCAAATACCACCATAAAAACAGCATATAGTAGCTTCTTGAGTACTCACTGTTGTCTGAATTGCTTGATGACACAGTAGAACCTCAGACATCAAAATGCAATGGTGTGGGAACCAGGATGTAACACTCCTCCCCAGGCAGGACCTGGCTGTAGAGCCCCATCTGTGATGCCATGAACAGAGCCTGCAGAGCGCCCGGCAGCACGGTACTCCCCGAGCATGTCCAGCAGACAGGGGAGAGCAAGGTGCATTGCTCCTCAGCAGCAGGCAGGTTTGATAGAGTGTATCAGTGCTGCAGATTTGGAAATCTAAATACTTGGTGCAAAAATATAAAAACTTAAGTCAGGAGTTTTTATGCTTGGCAGGCTTTCTTGAACCATCTAGTCTGACCAAGTGCCATAAGAACTGCCGAAGACCTCAACTTTAGAGACTGTTTTAATGATTTTAAAAAGAATACTGGCTTTCCATGTCAAGGACAAGTAACAGAGAATCTGTAACTTCAGAGGAGCTGTTACTTATTTCACACACTTGGCATAAATGGTAGCTTACATTGCCCACATCTATCTACACATCTATTTTAGGTGGCTTGGTTTGCTTGCTTTCATGTGATAGTCACAAAAGACACCAAGGCAGAGCAGGAACTAAGGTCACAAAGAAGTTAGAAGGTAAGATTAAGCTGGTAGAGGCATATGGACATACAGTATAAGAGAAAAAAAATAATGTATGCTCTACCCTAGAGGAGATTGGGCCTTTCTTTGCTTCGATTTTCTGAAAGCTACTTGTTTCACCCAGTATTTGTCACAGCTTCTGAATGGCCAACAAACTACAATGGTAGAAAATGGGCAAGCATGTTCTTGCCATAAAGCAGTGAGGCATTTCCTTCTGCAGAGCTCCTCACTGCTGAGACATAAGCCTTTGTTCCTTACATCATAAGGATGTGATGGATATCTTTTGTTGTCTGAACCTATCCCCTCTGTAATTGCACTAAGTAATACCATTGCTAATCTCTTGATGTTTCTCATTACAGAACATTGTTACCTTGCATCTCACTTCAGTGAGGTGAGGTTGAATCTACTGCTTACAAATAAGTCAACTGGTTGATTCCTCTGTTAGCAATGACCTGTTAGGAGATGAAGTGTGAAGTCAGCAAGTGCACCAAAACACCAGCCCTGACTATGACCCCCCCCATGAAAATCTGCACATCCTACCTGCGTTTTTCTGTACTCAAAGTTCCTGTGGCTCCTCTGAGAAAACTAAGGAAATCAGAAGAGAAAATTTGTCCTGATTATGTTAATAATGGCTCTTTGTCAATTAATTTCTTGTAGTCTCCCAGCTGTCAGCATCACAACTCTGTAAGGTTTTTTTCAGCTGAAGTAGATGTTTCTCACTGCTTCTGAAAACTGAAGGATCACATCTGTAGTAATGAAATAAAAGACATTGGCATAATCATTCCAGACTTCTACCAGGAGATACAGCCGCAGTCCAGTTTACAAATCTGAGTTCAGAATAACTTCCCAGAAGCCAGCAGAATTGTTCCAGCTTTAACACTGTGTCAAACTTGTTATTATCAGCCCATTTACGGCCTTTCCCTCATAATGATTTTAAGTGATGATATGTAGATTTCAAGTGTCCACTCAACTTTCTTTGTTTTCTCTTTTTGTTTTGAAGTATATTTGGTGCTGTTCGAACTGGTGCTTATATGCTGTACATTTTGATGACCAAAGGCCTGAAGCAGTCAGTGTGCGACCAGAGTTTTTACATTGGACCTGTCAGCAAATTCTGGGCATATGCATTTGTGCTAAGCAAAGCACCCGAACTAGGTGAGTACCCCTTCTCCCTTTCTCTCACTAGACTTAATGGATCAGAATTGTCTGTGCAGGAAGCACAAGAAGGGTCTCAGTGCTGCCAAAATCTCGTTTTAGTCTTAAGAAAAACTGAATAAACAAAACCAGCTCCAAACCCTGCATGTTTTAGTCTCTAGAGATGAAGTCCAGTTTGGCTGAAGTTAGGCAATGTGTAATTGAATAAGACCATTCCCAGCCCAGGAATAAACTGCAGTGATTATAAACAGCAAGGGCAGTCAAAACATAAGAGCCATCTGGTCCATACGTCTTTCTTAGCTACGTGTAGGCAAATATGAGTATCATAATCAGCAGTCACTCCCCCCATGTGTACAGAAGTGAAGGGTGGGCTACACCAGTTGTCTCAG